GCTCTTCGGCTCTGTGGCCTGGAGTTCACGTCTGCGGCCACGAAACGTCTCCCAGACAATCTTGAGAAGCTTCGATTGGGGGGCTAACTGCTGCTGCATTCTTTTTAAAATTCTCTTTATTTTGACTTTTGTGATTTAAAGAATGAGATTTAATTTTTATTAGACCTACACTTTTAGTTTCCAAAGCCAGCCAGTGTGTCTGTGCTTATGTAGAAGGGTCCGAGCGTCACTAGTGGGCTGTCGGGGATTCGAGCTGTCCAAATACACACGTCAGGCCCTTTACTCTCCAGCCTCGGCTAGCTGTGGGTCAGCTAACTGATAAGTAAATGCCATGAATAGTTCAAAATAAGTTTCTTAGTCCTGCGTTGGTCAAGGCTAGTCCTTATTAATGCTGGAGTGGAGGTGGATTTAATCAATTCGAGCAAACATTCCATCGAGTAGTTAAAAAATAAACCAGTCGTTTGCCCTGTTGGTTGGTCATGACACCCTGCCCAGGAAAACTCTGAAGTCCCTGAGGGAAGGGTCCTGCCTTGCTCACAGATGCCCCTCCAGGACTTGGCCCAGCGCCTGGAACCCAGTCAGCAGGCAGGGCCAGTATTCGTCGAATGGATTAAAAGCTGGGTGTGTGAAGGAATGCAGGTGTCTCCATGCCATCCAAGCAACTCTAATTATTAACTTGAGGTGCACGCTGATTGGCACTGTTTTGAGTTTTCCTCTACAGAACTTATTATTAAGCAATATACTTTAAAACCACAATAAAACACAACAAAAACAAATTAAACTGCTGAAGGAGACAGAGCAGTTTGAGTGACCGGAGTGATTGGCAATGGGTTGCCAGGACGATTTAAGATAAAGTCTTGCCATTGTTCAAATTATTGGCTGGGCTATAAGAAATATATGCTGTTGGGAACCAGCAGTTAGCGTAATGGCTATGTCACTGGACTCCCATGTAGTCGATCGCGGTTTGAATCCTGAAACCAGTGGCTTAAACTCTCGCCGGGCGCGTGTGCGTGTGTGCCCAGGATACCGAGAGGAGAATGGAGGAGAAGGGATTGCGGCGTGGCCATCCCCCCCTGGGGGGGTGATTTCTCACTTTCTGTGTCTCTGTCTCTCTCTGTCTGTCTGGCAAGTGCACACACCCTATAGCAAAAACCTCTAAAAAAAAAAAAAAGAAAAGAAAAGAAAAAGAAAAAGAAATATATGCTGTTTATTCTGGACCTACAAAAAAGATAATTTTGTATGATTTAATTAAAATTATGTCCTAAAAGTAAACTAAAAAAAAGATTCTCATTTTTCTGACTTGGCTTTAATTCCAGGGTAAAGCAAAAAAATAAACAAAGTTGTCAAGGCTGGAGATTGTTAACTAATGACAGACGCAAGGGGAAAAAGAAGCCTGTGGATTATAGCATAAGAATTGGTGTTCAATTGCCCCATTGCCTCAAAATATGAGAAGGAAGGGGAAAAAAGGTATCTAACCTAATAGTCCAGCTTGATGTACATTATTAAATAAATGGGCCAGAGAACTGTCACTTTTTTCCTCTCTTAATTTGAGACATTTTAATAAAATATCATACAATTATCTAAACAAGTTAAGCTTCTTAAAATTCCTAACAAGTAAGAGCAATACTTATATTTGCACTTGTTTATATTCCATTCCAACAGTTTTTACAAGTATATACGTATCTTTGTATAGTCATTGTCATGCAAAGTTTCAGATGGCTTTTTTCCTTCGCGTTCTCTTGTGAGCATTCTGTGTGAGTGTGCTTGGCCTTCACGATTGTTTCTAATTAGCGTGTGCATCTCTGTGGAGTATGTGCCTTGCATTTTCTTCGCTACTTCCTTATTATTGAATACTGGTTATTACAGCCAACCCTACAGGAATATTTTTACTTATGTAGCTTTTCTTACTTCTTTGGGTGAATCCAGGCCTGACATTTAAAAGGACCAATTAAAGCAAAAGCGTTTCACAGGTTACTCTGGACTTCCGTTGAAAACAACCCCATCAAGGACAGAAGTGTGTCTTCTGACTGTGTCCGTCTGAGATTTGCATCTTCTCCAGAGC